ATAACAAAAAAATTTAACAACAGCAACAAAGCCATAAGAATAAACCTAATCAAAGAGGTGAAAGATCTTTACAATAACAATTACAGAACACTAAAGAAACCCAACCAAAAAAGGTGGAAAGACTTCCCTCATTCATGGAACGGCAGAAATAATATTGTTAAAATGACCATATTACCAAAAGTGATCCACAGGTTCGATTCAATCCCCATCATCATTCATAGAACGAGAAAAAACAGCAGTAATATTCATGCAGGCACATTAAAGACCGAGAATCATCAAAGCAGTCCTAAGCAAAAAGAGCAGCTCTGAAAACATCACAATACTCAATTTAAATTTATATTACATAGCCATGGTAACAAAAACATCATGATACCAGTACAAAGTTGGACACACAGACAAATAGAATAGAAGAGAACATAGAAACAAACCCACAAAACTTCAGCTTTTTGATTCTGGACATAAGGGCCAAAAACATACATTGGAGAAAAGACAACTTCTTTAACAAAAGATGCTGAGAAAACTGAGTATCCATATGGAGATAATTGAAACTAGATCCCTGTCTTTCAGTTTGTTCAAAAATCAGCTAAAATTGCATCAAAGACTCAGGTACAACCCTGAAACATTGAAGCTGCTAAAAGAAAACATAGAGGAAATACTTGAAGCCATAGCCACAGGCAAAGACTTGCTGAATTGAACTCCAATGGTGCAGGAAATAACAGGAGGAATAAACAAATGAGACCTCAAATTCAAAAGTTTCTGCACAGCAAAGAAAACAGTAGACAGAATGAAGAGACAGCCTACAGAATAGGAGAAAATCCTTGCCAGTTATTCTTTCAATAGAGGATTAATATCTAGAATATAAAAGAACTAAAAAATAAAAATAAAAAAGCCAAATAACTCAATCAACAAATGGGCAAATAAATTGAACAGATCTTTCTCAAAAGAAGTACACATAGGGCTGAGGATTTAGCTCAGTGGTGCTGCTACCTGCCTTGCAAGTGAAAGGTCCTGAGTTTGATCCCAGGTACCAAAGATAAAAGAAGTACATGTGGCTAGTCCATATACAAAAAAGTGTTCCACACCTTCAGTCATTAGGGAAATCTAGATCAAAACAATATTTTCTGTCTCACTCCAGTCAGCATGGCTGTCATCAAGAATGCAGAAAACAATAAATAATGGCAAGGATGTGGGGAAGTGTAGGGGGGACCACCCTTTTACATTGCTGGTGGGAAAGTAAATTAGCACAGCCACTATGGAGATCCATACAGAGGGTCCTCAAACAGCCAAAGATGGAACTACCACATAGAGAACTACCAGCTGTACTACTCTTTGGTATACACCCAAAGGAATTCAAATCAGCATTCTATAGGAATATCTTCATACCCATATAAATTGTGGCACCATTGCTGAGCTATTGAATCAATTGCTGAGGTTCCAATCAATGAATGAATACATAAGGGAAAAAAGAGAATGTTTAATCTGTTCCTGCATCTACCCAGGTGATAATAGAATACAAGCACCATGGTCATGAGGGATCCACAATTTTCAATAATACTTTATCACAATTCTTGCTTTCCCATGTCCTACTTACAGCTTTCTCTATCATATTAATAGTTTTATAAAAGGAAATGTTAAGAATTGAGTCACCACAATGTTTGAATACTGATTGTTAATGTCATGTTGTTGAGCTGACTCTAATAGGGTATCTTGTTGAGCAACAATGATGTGAGCCTATAAGGAAGTTGTATCATGTGCTCATTTAATTTAAGAGAAGGGAACAAATACTCAGAACAAAAATAAATATAGTCATCTCTTGGTAACCATAAGAGATTGATTCTGGATCACCCAAGGATAGCAAAATCAGCTAGTAGCTAAATAATAATATAAAATGGCACAGTGTTTGTGTATCACCTATGTACATCTCATATACTTAAAATCATTTCGAGATGACTTTTATAATACAGTATAAATGACATGTGGTATAGTGTAGATCTAAAAAGTACCCTGAAAGTCTCATGTGTTTAGAAGTGGGCCTTTTAGAAGATGATTTAATTGTAAGGACTCTAACTTAATCAGTGGATGAATCCATTGATGAGATAATAATTTGGTGGCATTACTGGGAGGTGATAGAAACTTAGGAGATGAGGCCTTGTTGAAGAGATTGGATCATGGAGGTGTGACCTTGGAAGCTCTGTCTTGTCCCTGGCACCTTTCTCTGGTTCTTGCTCTCTCTGCTTCTTGGCTGTCATGACGCTTTACTTTTTTATGCCCTTTCATCATGATGTATCTCCTTTACCATAGGCATAGAAGTAACAAGGACAAGTGACCACGGACTGAAATCTCTGAAACCCTGAGCCAAAATAAATATTTCTCCTCCAAGCTGTAACAGTGATGCAAAGCTAACTGCTATACTATGTAAATACTTGTCACATTGCATTTTTTAGGGAAAAATGACAAGAGAAGGTCTGTTTTTGCTCAGTACTGATGGAATGGTTTTTCAAATATTTTCAGTCCATGATTGACAGAGCCATGGATGAAGACACCACAGATTCACAAAGCTGATTGTATCCCAAGGAAAAAGGATGGATCCATCTATCACTCTCCTCACTGAGTGAACAGAAGATGAAACTATGAACATGTTCTTAACTCAGTTGCCTCACTACTTTGTGCCTCTAGTAATTAGAGTCCTGCTACACCATGTGTGACTTAGTACTTACAAGTATACATTTTTTTACACAGTATGTTTCCTAGAAATAAGCTGACTTCTTCATGTGCATAGTATATTAAATAAATTAAACTAGAATCTCAAGATTGAGAGGAAGCCTACATTTGTGTTTATTTTCAATGTGTGCCTCCTGAAGGTGTTTTAATGACCATTTTTTGCTGTATAAGTACATTTTTTTTTGCATTGGAAGTTAATCCCAGCAAAAGTTATAAATACTGATACTGTTTCTTTTATTAATTTTTATTTAAATACAAAAGTATTTATAGTATAAGTTTTTCAGAAAAGTTATTTTGGGGGATTGTTTGATAAGAAAAACTTTGGCTGAATTGGTTGATGCCCTCCATAGTCCATCTGGTTCCTGCTACCCAGGCAAATACCGATTTACCTTGGTTAGACACACTTGAGTCTCTCCACACTTTGCAATGGGGCACATGAGCGTAACATATTGGAGTTGTGTATTCCTAGAGCAGATCTAAACACTTCACTGTAAATGTAAAGGAAGAAGCACTTGCTTCAGAGCCGTCAGTGCAGCCGCGACGTGCTATAAGAGATGAGTCCCCATCTACAAACACTTTATTTTCATCTTTTCATTCTCTCACATTTTTTTCTTTTCCCTTTTTGTTCTTCCCCTACGTATCACACCTTCCCTACACCTTTAGCTCCTTTCCTCCCATTTCTAAATGTCAGTAATCTTATTAGAATCTTATGCATTGTTGCAGAATATTCACACCAGGGAAACTATTTGGTATATACACATGTGGGACTTATTTATTTCACT